AGCTGACCAAAGATTTAGTTGGATAACATCTTTGTGTTTATGCCTTAGAGCAGGAGTTCCTAAACATTTTTCCATCACACCTCCCTTTAGTGTAATCTTCATGGACACACCTCTTCTAAAAATTCAAAACACCAAACTGAACACAAATGAACAATGAAAACAATACAAGGAAAATTTGGGAAAGGTGGATTTATTATAGCAATATAACTAAAAGGTTCGTCACACCTTCCCTGGACTCTGTCTGCATTTCTCCAAGGGAGACACACCTCACATTTGGGAAACCCTGCCTTAGAGTATCTCATTTCACTTTCCTTTCTTTTCTTTCCTTTCCATTTTAGAGATAAATCCTGACTGTGATTTTGTGGGCCTCATCGGTTATCTTTTTAATGTGACCCAAGTCCCACTTAGAAGTGAAAGAAAAAGAAAACATTTGGGGAGGGAGGTCAGTCCATAGAACTGGGTGGATCTACGCAATCAAATAGTTCCAGCACTGGTAAGGCAACTTCCACCCATCTTTTCCAGCTACATATCAAATATATACATATACATATACATATACATATACATATACATATACGTATACGTATACGTATACGTATACGTATACATATACGTATACGTATACGTATACATATACATATACTTTTTTTTTTTACTTCCCCCAGCCCAAGTGGTAGAGTTTGGTTTGCCTGCCATGCTTCATGTCATTGTAGCAAATGCCTCCACAACTTTCTGCCCTCTTCTGAAGGAATTTCAACAATAACTCAACACACACACACACACACACACACATAGAGCTCAACAATAGTTTTAAATTATGCATATGTATATCACTCTGGCATTGTTTCTCATGTGAATCAAAAGGTGAAATGTTTCAGATTTTGGAGGAAGGAAATAGAGAAGCTATTATCTAATTAATCAGGGCTGCTGTCTTAATCAAGCAGAAGCTTTTTAAAACAGCTGAATTAATCAGTGTATCAACCAAAGATGATAGCATTTTGTGCTCAGTAGGAAAGCCTTCACTCCACACATACTATAGGTTCCAGGGGACCACTTTAGAAGGCATCAGACTGAGCAATCTGCCTGAAAAAGACCTCCTTTTCCCCCTAGCTCTGAGGTGCCAGCTCCTCCTGCCAGCAAAAAAACAAAACAAAAAAGTGACCGGGCACAACAGTCCAGATTTGGCAGAGTGCTGACTTGCACCTTCCCTGCTGCAACAGAGAGCATTGCCAAAATTTCTTACAAACACCTCCAAACTTGTAATACACAGTTCTTGGTAGCAATATTGATGCTTTCTCTGAAAGCTTGACATCTTAAGAGCATGCAGATACTTAAAACAGAGAAGCACTTTCTATGAAATAGTTTCCCTCTGCCATAATTTCATTGAAAATAAATATTGCTGTGCAGCTCCTAAAAGTACCCAAGATCTCAAAAGCTTTCCAACTGGCTCCTGGAGTAACTCCAAAGTTGCCAGCAAATTGAAAATTGTAATGCACTCAAAGGGGCAAACCATTAAATCCATTGAAAGTGATCATGTTACTATATTTAACTAATTTGGTGTAATTTTAATACAGGTGAAATTAAAATTAGCGTTTGTCCTGGACCCAAATACTCTTTCAAATGCAAGCCCCATCACACCACACAAAGGCCAAAGGTAGCCTTCAGTCTGAAAATGTTGAGTTCCTGAGAAGATAATCTATTGCTGGATAGACAGTGCTGTTGCTGTTTTGAAATATGTGGTTGGACAAAACGTGATATCAGATCCAGCATTGTCCTGACAGGGACTCTCTTTCATGGATGTAGAACCCATAGAAATTTACCTGATGACATGATTTTTTCTTCCTTTTTGGCATCTTTATTCAGAGTAAAAGCAATCTTATCCAACCTCAACCCTACATAAACCCAATCTTAAATCTTCAGAATCTCACACCATGCCACAATCAAAAGGCCTTATTCAGGAAAGAAGAGTTCTGAGACTACCAAATACCATATCTTTAGGGGTCTTCCACCTCTTCTTGCATGCCAAATTTTCTGCAGGCTAGGGGAAATCTATGCTGATGCAAAATTCCATTCAGAGCCTAGCATGATGGGGCCAATATCAGCACACATGGGTTCCAGATGCCCAGTGGTATACCTTTAATTGTTTTAATTTAAAAAAAAAACTTTTAAAAATTCATTTTTCGCTGGCACTATTAAGAAAAAAGTAGGATAAAGCAGCTACCACTATCACAATTTTAATATGCCAATATAATACCCAGCTATCATTCTGCTGGACTCTGCAGCTTCAGATCAATCAGCCAATATGCCTATTAACAGAGCTGGGTTGTTTCACCTACTTTTCCCATGGCTGTCTAGGCTCCATTTTAATCCATCTTAAGTTCACTAGAGGGCACAGTGTGCCGGGAGGTGCAGGCTCCTTAAACATGGCACCAGATCAGTTCTTTGTGACTGGACAAAATAAGCCATCTGCCAAAGTCAATTTCCCCCTTCCTTTACAGCAGCCACATACCCTCCAGAGAATTTCTTGGCCGTTGTTCCTGGATTTTTGTGGATCTTTCCTTTTCTCTCTCTTTCTCCTTTTCCTTTTCTTTGCGCAAAAACTCTATCTCCTTTAGCTGCTTCTGACGCATTTTCTCCTGAGCTGACTTGGATATTGTCACATGAATCTGGACACAATAGAAGCATACACAGTTCATTCAAATTTATATGTGTACATCTGTTGTGCATACAAAGAGAGAGAGAAACTTGTACACAATAGCAAAGAGACAGATTAATCTGTTATATTATTATTAATCTATTACAACTCAAAATAAATACTTTATCAATATGAACGATGGTTTCACGCTCTTAATTTTTCATTGGACTCAACCCAAATAGGTAGCCATGGAATGGAAATTCCATCAATTTAGCAAGTATAATTCAGGTTGGGCTTTTTTAAAATGAGATTCAAGCCACATTAGACATGAGTCATGAGATGACAGATTCTCCCACTAGATCTCTCAGCATCCTTACAAGTTTCTATAAAGGTGGAAGGGGGAGCACCACTGTTAGAAGAGGCTGGAATGCCAGCCATTTAATTCTCGATTTAAGTCTGAAACTAATTGCAAAGCAGAGAGGGAAAATGCACCATATGTAACAGAGGTACCTGTTGAAGTTTCTTTCATGCTTAACAGCAGCTTTGGGACCAGGAGCCCAATTTACGTTAGTGAAATGGTGCAGGAGAAAAAGCATTAAAGCCCAGTTCCTAATGACACAGAATCAATCCAATTTGTTATACTCATACAAACACACCAGCTGCTTTTCAAAGGAAAAAAACATAAGGAACTCTAATTCTGTAGTCCCCTTATCTCATCTTATTTGCCACCCAAAGTTGGAATTACTAGACAAAGCTTAATTTGAGGCAGATACTGAAGCAGAAAAAACATCAAGGGAGGCTGTACAACATCAGAAGAAATAAGGCCAAGGAAAAGGACCTGAAGCCTATTTTTATATAGGTGATTTCTTATGAAATCACTTATACATTAATATCAGTTTTGGGCTGATATTAAGCCCATGCTGAGTCTAAAGCTGTTTCAGCCCCCCAGAAAGAAAAGTATAGCAAGTGCAATGCTGAACTGATTGGAAAGAATCTGACTTGGACAGGCAAAATGCAAGTGATGGATTTTAGTATATCAGGACATATCCTTCATAATCATTTTAGCATTGTGTTGAATATAAGTTGCTTGTATCAAAGGTCAATGTTGCATCCACTACTCCACATAGTAATCACGCATTTTCAAAGTGACATGTATTCTTTTGCATTCTAGAAAATGCAATGCTTTACTTAAATTATGCATTCATTCTAGTTGCTGTTGCTGTGTGGAATATGAATGCGCAGATATCATATGGACTTTGTTGATATTCCACAGTAATTAATAACAAATGACTCAAATTTATTCCTATCGCTACACATTCAGAGTCGAGCTGTTTATAAGCCTTTGGGTAAATCTTTGAAAAGACCCAATGTGGTGTAATAGTTAAGATGCTGGTATGGACTGGAAAAACCCAACTCTTAATCCACCCTCTGTCATGAATACACACAGGCTGATTTTGAGTCAGGTACTATTTCTCAACACAATCTATCTCACAGGGCTGTTGATGGAGGGAAAAGTTAGAGAGACTGTCTTGAGCTCCTGGAGAAAAGCCCATTAGAGAAGGGAAGGAGGATGGATGGATGGATGGATGGATGGATGGATGGATGGATGGATGGATGGACGGACGGACGGATGGATGGATGGATGGATGGATGAATGGATGGATGGATGGATGGATGGAAGGAAGGAGATTCCATTGTTGCACAACTCCAGCTAAGGCCAGCCCTATCATTAGGCAAAATGAAGCATGGGGAAGCCACTAATTTTTTCATTATTTAATTTATTACCACTGCATTTCTGTTGGAGAGGGAATTTACGACTCTATGACTTAGAGTACTCTGCACCAGGGCGTCAAGAGGAGAATCCAAAAAGTCAAGATGGTGACTTTTCATGTCTGAGGTGCACGCAATGCACATTTTAAAAAGAGTGGGGCTTTGATAACATGGTCACAGATGCCATCTTGACCGTTTTTATCACTCCCCCAAGAACCCCTGTGCTATACATGACTTGATTGCCTCAAAGGGTCTTAAACAGCCCTGACTTTTACCAGGAGATACTTCTATCTTTATTTTTATATGTGATAAACAGGAATAAAACTACTTCTCTCTCTCTCTCAGAAAGCTAATTTTCATGGATCAAGACTCACTCAAGCATGCCTGTTGCATGGATGAGATATTTTAAGCTGTCATTGGCAAAACAGAGCTTTCATAAATTGTTCTACTGTATGGGGAAAGCTCCACCTCACAGGACTATGGGCATATCTCCCTCAATGTTTACAATTATGGTAGCTCATGGAATCTATATAATTTTAGTTCACTTGGACACCATATTTGTTTCTGACACACATGCTACTCCTTTATCTCTGTATTATTAGGAGGTATCAGATTATTTTACACTTGTAGTTAATTCTTGCAAGGAAGCACTCCTGTTGATGGCTGAGCTCCCGCCTTGCTTGTCCTGGCAGTTCTGGGCTTAGGCCCAACTCCCTCTGTCTCCTCAGTCCTTCTCCTCCACAAACTCCTTCCCTAAGCTTGAGGGCTGTATCTCTGAGTGATTCGCCTCTTATTGCCTGACAATGCCAGCTGCATAAATGGCAGAGCAGAGCTTATCAAGTTCAACTATGATGCCCTCTTTCAAAATAACATTCCCAGGACCTCTTCATGCTAGTTGAGTCCTTCTCATAATATTTTCTTTACTTCTTGCTGCTAAATTCACCAACCTTAAAACTCACTTTGGCCTTCACACCAAAATGCAAAAAGGGGGAAATGGACACGTACCCTTCCATTGCTTTCTTTCCACTCATCGTCTTTTAACAGGGGAGGGTTTAAAAGCAGGCCTCCTTCCTTGGCCAGAATGAGGGAGGAGGTGGCCAATGGCAGCGAGGATTCCGGTGGTCCCCCAGCAACCTTCAGAGCTACAGGCAAGCCATTTTGGAAAGCAGGTTCAGATATTCCAGTTTCTGACAAGCCAATTAAAAAAAAAAAAGGAATATATTACTGTGGACTGTGACTATGTATGACATTTTTAAGAAGTGTTTGTGAAGACAGTGAGAGCAAAGAAATCACATAATGTATTAAAGCAGAACAAGGGGAAACTCCAGCAAATTGAATCAATCACTGTAGATGAAGTTAAAGGGCTCTTCCTCATGGTCAGATTAAAGCATTATACCAGTATAAAATTTGCTGTTCCCATTGGTGATCCTTATCTTGCCACAAGCACAAAGTCATTAAATGGTGCTGCCCTTATTTATGGAATTTAGGGAACATTAAAGTCAGGGATTGGTGATTCCTCTGGCTTTCTTTCCATCTCTTGCTTCAGACTTCACTCCAGCATGAAAATATCCACAAATCACTTTCCTTAACACAGAACAGGCTAGGCTAGGGAGGAAGTGAGTTTTGATAGATGGCCAGCCTGGCAGGGTTAGTCACCTGTCAAAACTCAATCTGACTTTCTGCAAATATTTTGCATGATTGTGTTCAAAGCAACCCCAGCTGATAGACTCCTTTCAGACACAGATGTAGTGCAATTCCAGAAGAGCACTAAATCCATGTTCAAAGGAGCCTGAACAACAACTGACAGGTCTGGGAAAGGCTCTCAGTGACTATAAGCCATTGATAAGGGAATTATTAGGAACCCCTCTACCTCTATTCCTTCACTTGTGAATGTCTACAAGCATCCACAGGAAACAGTAAAGATCTCAGACAAAAATAACAGGAGGGATGCTTTGCTACGTTACTGTATCACAGCTTGAATGCTGTATGGATGGTTTACTGAAAACAACAAAGATATTAGATACGCATTCTAATATTTTTGCCTGCTAGTACTAGATCTAAGCTCTAGATTGTTGGATCCAGATGAAATACAGCCTGTTCATCTTTGCGAAGAAAATGAATTGCATCATAAAAGAATACAGCTAGTTTAAAGTAGTTACCACAATAAATTCTTCCTCAAGCCATCCCTGCTGTGGAATAATTATCAAGGCAAGCAGCTTTACCCTTTGAAATTAACACCTTTGACCAGGCAGTCACCCCAGGGATAAAATGTGACATTTCATTTTAACACATAAGGGATGACTCTCCAGCTGAGTTTTTTGTACCAGTGAGAACTAAAAAGGATCTACTTTAAAAAGCAATGAACTCAAGCTACAAGCCAATCATAATTTATACAACAATGTTGTTTAAAAAATCGATAACATATTTTCATATGTTTAATTCATTCCAGCCTGGAGCACTTTTACTGCTAAAGCTGCCATGGAAAAAAACTATCATATTCCTGTTCAGCAGATCAGTAATATAGTTTCATGATTGCTTGTACAATAACACACTGCCCAGCACTATGACAATAGCAATAGGTTCCTTCAGTTTCATTAATTTTTATTTATTACATTTACATTTATCTACTGCCTTTCTCCATAGAGCTCAAAGCAGCATATATGATATATTCTCACAACAATCTTGTCAGGTAGCTCCGACACAGAAATTTAATTAAGATATTACACAAGTAAAAAATTCCTAGTGTTCCACTTGGTAAGATGCAGATGGGAACACTCAGCCAACTTTGGCTAATCTTGAAAAAAATAAGCAGGGTCCAGCCTGGTTACAACATGGGTAGAAAATTATCCAGAAATTCCAGAACTAAAAGCTAGACTGGGATGTTGAAAAGAATCTCCTGGAACAAGACAATAGTATATCATTCCCACATTGTCACTAAGAAAACTGCTATACATGAATGTGACCAAGAAGTCACCAAAATTTTTCCAAAAGTTATATAAAAGAATTTTTATTTTTAATTTCCTTTTATTAAGGTACAGTTGAGTGTTTTCATATGGTCAGTTCTGACTGACCCTACCAATCAGAAAGAGTTTGACAGTTGTCTGTCCTTCCCACCTTACTGTAAGAAAAAACCTGAGGGAATTACCTACTCACTGCCCAGTAGAATTCCGTGAATGTAACAGGGCATCTCCACTATAAAAACCTTACTCTGAAGCATATTTAACTTATCCTGAAATCTCCAACTATTGTTTAAACTCAAATAAATATACTATCTGTACGTACCCAGTGTTTTTTGGCTGTTGTCTCCACCATTACCAGGCTCTGACAATGACCTCAAAGACAATTGGGAGGGGGAAAATGAAGAAAATATAGGGATTAAACTGTCTTTCACAAGAAAAGCAAATATAATAATTTAACATTTATAAAGGGCTTTTAGATGATAGAAGGAACTTCATGTACAATAACTTGTTGGCACTCACATTTTGCAGGGAGTGTCTGGAGGGGGCCAAGAAAGTAAGGCTAATCAAGACAATGAAATGCCTAACTCATAACTAGCTTGCAGACACAGGCAATACTGAGATTTGAACCAAGAATTTCCCAACCCATTGTTCAGTTATTGTATAATGCCATAAGCATCAAGTCTCCCATCACAAGCTGCTGCAAGCAAGAACAAGAGAGGACATCAGCCTTGTGGGACTTCTAGAGGCATTTGATTTCCACTATGAGAACTTTTGGTCTCATTTAGCCAAACATTCCTTTTGTTCATAATTACTTAGAAATTTACTTAGTTATACAGCACTGCCATGTAGCTCATATTTCTATTCAAATTAATTAGATTTACAATGGCCTACTGCTTCGTTAAATTGAGAAAGTTTACATGGAACAATTCATAACCTACTAGAGAAACCTTCTCCAACCTAGCATCAGCATGATCCAGATGTGTGGGAACTGTAACTCCCAGAATTCCCAGGTAGCATATGGAAAAAATCCTGGGACTTGCAATGCCAGCATATCTGGAAGGTGCCAGTTAGAGAAAACTGTCTTAAAATCAACCAAAGAGGCTTTTTGGAGGTGACTTTGAAAGAAAACTAACAGGAACAGCAGAAAAGGCTTACCTTGTCTTGGGACACTCATCTACAGCAAGTGGAACAGATTCTATCTGTGACAAGCTTGGAAAGGGTTCTGCAAAGTTCTGAGGGTTTTCTTCACATGCTTTTTCTAACTTGGGGATGGGTGGGATCAAGGAAGCACCTAAAGACTTTCTTGGGTTCTCTTCATTACCATGCAGGGTCTACAGGTAAGGATGGGAGAAAAAAATAACTTTAAAGCTCTGCTCACAGTCATTCATGTCTCAATCACTTCCTGAATGGACTACTGTGACACGCTCTACATAGGGTGGCCCTTGAAGAGCATCTGGAAGCTTCAACTGGTGTAAAATGTAGTGGCACAGATTTTTATGTCTGCCCCTAGAATGGTATATGTCACACCTCTACTTTACGAGCTGCATTGGCTGCTGGTTTGCTTCCAGGTTCAATTCAAGGTGCTGTTTTTGACTTTTAAAGCCCTATATGGCATGGGACCAGGTTATTTGAGAGTCTGCCTCTCCCAGGTACATCTACCTGTCCCATCAGAGTCGGCAGGAGCGGCATGTTACAGAGCTCCATCTGACAGGACCCAGGAGATGAGCTTTTTCTTCCATAGCACCCACCCTTTGGAACATAATTCCCTCAGAGGTGAGATTACCTCTGATCCTATTGGCCTTCAGAAAATCCTTTAAAGATGGTTCTTCCAGTAAGCTTGGGGATCCAATGGAAATAGGGAGCCCATGAGATGATTATACTGTGTGTGGGATGCTGGTCCATTCTCCTGCAGTCTGATTTATATTTCTGTTTAATTGTGTTTAATTGTTATTTTAGATTTGTTTTTAACTGTTAGTTTTATTGTGCACTATCTAGAATCATGTTTGTGAGATGGGCAGCTATATAAATTTAATAAATAAATAAATAAATAAATAAATAAATAAATAAATAAAGCAATTCTTTAAGTGTATTGACTTATTGCAGTACAGGTAGTCCTCGCTTACCAACTGCTTCATTAGCAACTGTTCAAAGTTATGACAGTGTAAAAAAAAAAAAGCTTTGTGACCAATCTTCACATTTAAAACTATCGCAGTGTCCTGTGGTCATGTGATCACTATTCACATGCTTCCCAACCAGCTTACAACAAGCAGAGTTAATGGAGAATGCAGAAGTAAAATTGTAAGTCATGATTTACTTAATGACCAAATGGGAAGTGAGGTTGTAATCCCATCACAGTCATGTGATTTTCTCCTTAGTGACCATGGCACTTAGCAACAGAGTTGCCACTCCCAATTGTGGTCGCTAAGTGAGGACTACCTGTATTTATTGATTTTATTACAGTAGATTCCATTTTTCTTCTCAGTTATCTCATGAACAACATCCCCCCTTGTGGTAGCTTAGCTGAGAAAGAATGGCTGATCCAAAGTCACTTAGAAAGGTTGGTAACTGATTAGGATTTGAACCCTGATCTCTGCTTAATAGGATACTTGGTCATTAGTTTACATCCTTGTGAGTTTCATGGCTCCAAACATGGATTCAGACATGGACCCATGACTTAAGAGAAGCTTAAAAGGGAATGGAGTCATAGAGATTATTTGAGTGGAAGAGATTTAAATATTCAGTTTGGAGCAAACTTATGCCAAATCTATGACAGATAACAGTTCAGAAAGAAGAACCATAAAATCAGCAGCTCATAACAAAGCCATCACCCCAAGCCGACTGAGAGACCACATACAGAAAACTGAAATGGAACTAACTTACATTCATGAGGAAATTTCAGGTATGGCAATCATTCTAATTAGATGGGCAGGCTTCAGGAAACTTTCTGCACCCATTTCACCCTGCTCCAGAAGGTGAGCGATCTGCTTCAAAGCTGTCCAAAAGCCTGCCAATCCTGCTTGAAGCTCACTGCTCCCTTAAGCTTTCTTTTGTCTGACTCAGGCCTTCTCAAGGGCTTCACCTTGTCAAACAAGCTTCAACTGGCCAAGAGGAGGCATGTTATACTTATAGGCAAGAGACGTTGTTGAAGTGAGGCTCATTCTTAATGCAAGAATCAGCAACTGATTTGACAACTCACTTGTCCATACCACATAAGCAGAAGTTCTTGCAATTTAGTTTGACCTGTTGCTAGGAATATGTTTTCAGGCACAGCTCCCAACAGCTGGATAATTCTCCTTTAATAAACAAATCAATATTTGCATGGCTAGTCAGCTGACTAAGAGCCAATCAGATCATTCAGAAAAATCAGGTAGGATATACCACTTCATAATGCTAATCAGAGGCCACATTATGTTCTCATATATAATACCTCCTTACCTACAGAAGGTAGTGCAAAGGAAAAGAAAATGCCAGGAAAATTGGACTAATCTTACATTTGCTTTTCCTTGAAAACAAATAAATCAAGGGGAAAATAAGGTGCCCCCCCCCCCGGCTAAACCAAGCTCTGCTTCAGGTGGTAGAAGCACTTAGTCAACATTGCCGAGTTCGCTTTGCAGAGTCAGGTCTGAGAAACTTGAATACTTAATGGGAGACCACCAGAGCTGTAGGTTATACTGGAAAATAAAAATTTAAAAAAAAAATTCCAAAACAAGCCACTGGCAAGCCAGTTCTGTGCCAGGAAAACTGCAGGAATGTGTTCAGGAAGTCAGCAGGACTTGAGTTCAACTTGAAAGGGTCAAACTAAAGTAATCTCTGTTTATGCAGAACATACATTTTTCAGTTACACAAAAATCTTCAGGAAGTAGAAAGATGGGAGAAAAAATCTGCATAACATGAAAGCTGTAGTATTTCCTTGTTTTCTAAGTTTTAACTCTATTAACGTTAGCTGTAGAATAAGAGCTCCCTCTACTTGTTTTCCTGTCTTCTTTGCCCTCAAAGTTTCAGCTCTTGACTCATTTTAAATTCTTCATTTTTTAAAACTTTACTGGAATAAATTTAGCTCTCACTCTCCAGGATATATCTATTATTCCTGCCAGGCAGCCTTGAGTTCTGGCCAATTTTGCAACTCCTTTGACCTTCTATCAAAGTCTGCTTTTCAGAAGAGAAGTCTATTAATTTTTTGCATTAGTGCTCCTCCTGCTGGCCCTCATCAGCTTCTCAGCCTAAATGATAAGATGCAATCACAGGATCCTTGGCCCTCTCCAAATGGCATTTAATAATTGTCATATTTAAGTTACTGCAAGTTATTAATTTCAGAAGAGCATCAGATCTCATTGACTGTGCTATATAAGATATATACGGTCTTCCTCAGCAATTATTCCTGCATCAAGAATGAATTTCTAATGCAGTGCAGCTCACTTTGCTGATTCTCTAAATAGGCTGGTTTAACTTCTTATTCCAATGATACCAAAGGAAGAAAACAAGAAGGGAATCTGTTGAAAAGCTGCCAACCCAAAGCTCCCCAGGAATATTGCTCTGATATTCCCAACAGCTGTATCAGCTTCCTGAACCTGGTGTCCCCACCCCCATGACTTTGCAGGCTGGGAATGATGGGAGTTGGAGGGCATGGGACCAAGCAAAACTCAACTGCCCCTTCTCTGGAACTAATAATTAAAAAGGAGAACCCACAGTCCCTAGATTTAAAAGTCTGTTTATTTTGTCTGTTTCTATACTGCATGCTTTCAGTCTATAGGCCAGTCCTCAGTGGCCTTTTGATGTCTTCTTTCGTTTAACACAAAAACAAATAGACATAGCATGTTTTTGTTTCATATTAACAAGAGGTCATTCTAGTAGTACAGAACCAAGACAAATAGAACCATAACACTGTTAGCCATATTCTACAAGGATTTAATGCTATATGAGGGAAGTGGAGTTAAGCAAGGACTGCTTAGCTTGGATTATTAGAAGGTCAAAGCATGGCCCTCATGGGGAGTTTAGGGGCTGCTTTGGCTGATAGCACTGTAGAATAATGGAATTCAGTTACAAGAAGGCAGAACTAGTTCAGTGCTAGGGGAAAAAAATAAGCTTTCCTAAAGGTAATAGCAGTTCATTTGTGAATACAACTACGGAGAGAGATTGATGGGCTCCCTTTTTTTGGAAATGTTAAAGCGGTTTCAGCAGGGGATTCAAATCAGTGGTCTAAATGGCCCCTTCTGACACTATGATTCTATGATTAAATTTTCCCTAATCTTGGATCTCACTAGAACCTGTTGATTTTTTTTCCCTTGAACATGCATTTCTGCTATTTTCAAAACAATACAACTTGAATTTCACACACACACACATTCAAATTCTCATTTTTAATAGCAGATATATAAAATAAAACAAGTTATTTTAAAAATTTCAATTTCTTAAGCACATGCAATCTATATTTGATTTATACCTGCTCGGTAGAAGTTGTCAATTCTGGATTAACCCCTTCAGCCTGTAAAAAGTCTGAACCATTCTCCCTAACTTGTTGCTCTCTTTCCTGAGCTCTCTTGGTCTCTGGGGTGGTTGGTATGCTCTGAATAGGAGGCATGGGCTTGGAAGTGACCAGCAGTCTTTGAGAAGCAGATCTGGAAATGGCTGGTTTCAGGGCAAGTCCCTTGGGAGCAGCAGAGTCCAGCAAACCTGCAAATATAAAATATAACAAATGTGACTGTGGGAATATTTACAGGCTAATGTCAAACTTCAATACAGTATCTCTCAGCAGCACCAAACTGATTGCATAAGGAATTATCACTGGTTTTGCAGATCAATTTTGTCTTACAGTGGATCATTTTCAACACCAGAAAATACCCTGAGAAAGGGCATGGTGCATACTTATCCTGTAGTTATCTATATGCATACAGAAGTCAAGGTACCAGGCTCATGCAACCCCTACAATGACCATGGACTGCCAGAAGTGAATCCATGGAACAGCTGTATCCTGTTTCTGAAGAAGTGGCAACTAGGCCTCCCTCCTAACTGGAATGCGGAAGGAAACATCAATACCTTTCACAATTACAACTCAAAGGCACAAGATCTAATGGTATGCTGTACCTAAAATGGTAAAAAGGGATCCAGTGGAGCAGTAGAAAGATCTTTGTACATTACAATTTTAAAGTGGGCCTGTAAAAAAAAAGTGAATACAACCCAAACTGTATCAGGTGCATACAACAAACTCACACAAGGCTTGGACACCAAGTAACATGCAGCAAAGAGCCAAAATTCGTACTTATACTTACTGCATGGATCTGGCAAGAATTAGTCATTTCACTTTAAGCAACCTTCAGTGTTGATTTGAAAATAGTTGGTGGGCAAAATGACTCTTAGTTGCCCACCTATTGAGGTCAGTAAATCAAATCTTTATTACGGTGATAGACCAGCATAATGAAGTCAGTATGTCACGGCATCACCTACTAGAATATTGGAGAAGAAGCCTGTGCTACACAGCACATGTTGTCCAGCACAGTTCTTTTAACTTTAAATAAATACATTATCATTTTGGGTCCAATTGCCTTGCAGATATATGTTGCCAGATTGATTGATAATTGTATGTACTAATGGCAGATTTTAATTACTCTGTATTTGTTCTCTGTAATGATGTAGCTTAACTGACTGTTGAGCTTTAGACCATGGAGCCAATGATTCGAGAATTATGGTTTCACTGGGCAAGTTACTCCGGCTCAGCCTCCAGCTATAAAATTAGAATAATGGCAACTTATCCAAACAATGCTGAAAGCTATACTTGATTTAGAGCAATTATATATAAAGGTTACTGATAAGGTATTCTTATCAGAATCTATCATACCTTTTTTTGATGCCAGTAGGCCTTCGGACATTCTTCTTTTTTTGAGCTTGTCCTTGATCTGAGCAGTCTCCATGGCTGCACTGTTCACCTCCAACTCACTAAGACTGTACTTTGGCTGGGCTCTAGGTATCTGTGAAGAGTCATCCATGACTCTGCTATCTGTATTCTTCTGAAGGCCATTTCTATTGCCCCAGCTCTCCAGAGAGGAAACATCTGGAGGTTCTCCTTTGCTTCCCCACAAACATGACTGTTTTTTTAAAACTGAATGAAGAGATGCTGTGGAACAATTTAAGCAGAGTAGCTTGGTTAATCAATCTGAAATTCACTTCTCCAGAGCACTAGGGAGTCAGGGCTTTGATTCAGAAGCAAGGATAGTAAGCCGATCAAATGCAAAACAAGATGTAGCTCCTCTTCCTTTACTAATTCTGTATACAGTAGTAAGACATTCTGAAAGATTTAGCTTATCATGCAGGGATGGGAAAAACAACAGCTACTGAAAGACCTTAGAATTTGCAAGACTATTGAATGGGATAGAGACAACACTATCTAGAAATCAAAACAGCAATATCGTGATGCCAATATCTCTGTATAAAAATTCCAATGTCTTTATGTTTATAATATGTCCCTGGTTTGAGAGCAGATAAGCATTATATAGTATTATTGAACTGCCTCTGACACTTTTTCCATGAGCTAAACTTAAATTTGCAAACATCACACATGAAAGGCTGACTAGTTCTGCTTCTCCTCCCAGTTTAATAGTATCCAGCCAATTTGATTCTTCTGTCTGACAATCTCTGTCAGATTGTCTCAATACTTGCAAGTTCCAATGAGTTTTCACCCATGTTATATTGATAGCAGCTGTCTTCTGGCTTCAGCCAATGCCAAGATTACTGCCTTAAGCTGCAGCCCCTTGGAGATCTGCATGTGCACAAAAGTCACTGACATCTATGTGAACACACACAGATTGGGCAGTAAAACATATACACAGCTCTACTGGGTATCAGACAAAATCAGCTTAAGTCTCATTTCCTACTTATCAAGCTCTCAAACCACACCCATATCTAGACTGCCAGTCATACGCAGGGCAGTGTTCTCACCCTCATCTGCTGCCATCCATCCATTTCCATGGAGCTGCAAAGTGGAATCAATGCTTCCTCCTCTAGATGACTTGCATCCGGATTTTAGTTTGGGAATGCTGCCACAATATATTGCAACCTGAGCTTGGTACTTGGCTATAAAATAATAAAATTAAAAAACAAACAAACAGAATGATAGAAGGTAGACGGGAGAACAATCATTTGCTCATCTTTCCATTTCTGTAATGAGTACTTTATTGTAGTTCATTTCTTCACTGCTTCTTGTGATCAGACTCCACATTTCTCATTGTAGAATTCTTTCTGCTTTACAAGTATTGCTATAAGAAAATATATATTGTCCATGCTGGCACTATAATTTGGGCTAGTTTGGATTCCTAAGTGGTTTTGTGAGCATGGCTGGTTTTGGTGGATTTTTTTTTTCCTTTGAGAAATGGGCACCCACCTAATGTTGTATTAATAAAAGCAACAAGGAGACAGTGGAATTATAAAAAATAAATGCTCATGTCTGCAACACTTTTGACTGAGAGCATTCAGAGGATTGCCTCTATTATACAATCAAGTGTCCTTGGGTGGGAGATGGTGTTCACCCATCTTTGAACCCTGACTGTGTTAGCTGGGGCTGATGGGAGCTAGAGTGCCACAACATCTGGAAGACACAGGTGGCCCATCCCCTTAACGGAACAGACTAAAGCAGTGGTTCTCAAACATTTTGGTCTCAGGACCCCTTCACATTCTGAAAAATGTGATTGAGGACCCCAAAGTGCTTTGGTTATGTGAGTTATATCTGTTGATATTTGCTGTACTAGAAATTAAGACTGACAATTTTTAAAATATTTGACTTTGCAGACCCCCTTAAAGGGTCCACACTTTAAGAACACTGGACTAAAGCATGAGGAGAGTGCAAACAGACTGCTTAAAGTGTGTGCTCAGGCTTCACCAACAGTCCTGTAATTAGCCCCGATAGCCTTTTAAAAAGCGGAAGAGATCAATAGTTACTACCTCCTCCAATTTTATTATCTTGTACTTTTTGGGGCATGAATAGAGCAAATAAGTAACACTTGCACAACTTTTTCTTCTGCAAAGATTCCGGTGGAGTAGTCCCATGCTGGGAAAAACAATGCACCAAATGTAGAGAGTACACACAAAGCTCACTAGAGAAAAGACTTTCTGTCCTTTCACTCTTGGTTCTTGGTTTGGCCTTTCTCTCTGACTCAGTTTATTCTTACTTCCTCACTAACGACTGACCTCACAGATCTCATTTTTCCCCGGCTGCTGCCTCTGGCCTAGCTCTGACACATTCACATGCTATTACATCCTTCTCAATGACTTGGGGCTCATCCATGTGCCCTGCTTGCTCTAGGGCAGACACCCATTAACCATTTCTTTAGCACATGAGCATAGAGTAAATAAGGGCAGACACCCATTAACCATTTCTTTAGTACATGAGCATAGAGTATTGTCCCCAACCTGACCCTGTCCTGTTATGAAGGCAATCTCCTCTCCTCTCTTCTTGCTCTGCTTCAGAAGTGATGTTTCCACTTCTGCTGGCCCAAGTCATGCCAAGTGGTCTGTCTGCACTGAACTGTTCTGAAGGAATTTTAGGGATGGAGGGATGGCCTATTCCTATTGGACCCCTAAAGCTCCTGCAGGCATACACATACCCCACTGGTCTCGGTTCCCTGGTTTTCAACTCTCCCACTGCACCAAAAATCCATATCTACCACCTTTCTTGCCAACTCATGGCATGCCAACTCAAAGTGGGGAAAGGCAGGAGGTGGGTCATTTAGATACCAGTTCTCCTGGCACCACAAAGACCTGCTTTCCTACATGGAAGGTCTACTTTATCACAGGGGTGCTGCCTCCAGAAGGATGTAACCTCCCTTGTGGTTCATCTGACCTCTGGTAGCTTATGTGTTGCTGGGGGGTGCTTTCTACACCCATGTCCAGCAATCTTCTGGAAAACTGTTGAGCATGTGTCAAGAACAACACCCAAGGCTTCAGTGACATAGTACTAAAAGGAGGAGGCAGGAAGTACATAGGGGGAAGTAGCATATCTTTGGTAAAGCTGCTTCTCTGCTATATCTTTGATACAATAATGCTAAAGTTGCAAAGGGGGGAGTTCTTGACATCCATGAGTGTGCCAGCAGAAGATGGCAACAAAGGAGCCTTCTCCATCCCTTCTCTCTCCTCCCCTTACTTTTAGTGTGGACAGAACCTCTACTTTCCTTCATTGCTGAGGCAAAGCCAGGGTTGGAAGTGGAATTAGCACTTCTTTAGGCCACTTTTCTATCAGCTCCTGCTCTGGTTAACAGCCCTTTAGCATTGCTCTGAGGAAGAGCACTCCGAACACCATTTGTTTGTTTATATGATTTATATGGCTACCCAATTCACAAAGAATGACTCTGGGTAGTTGATACAGGGTTAAAATCATAAAAACAACAAATAACAAAAGACATAACAACGCAGCACAATGGAGGCCAAGTTGCAGTCTCAAAACTATTAGTGGATGGGCTCATCCAATGCTGTGGCCCAAGGTTGATAGGAAAAGCTAGGCGTTTAAGGCATTATGAAAGGCCAACAGGGTTGGAACCATCTGGACCTCAGGGAACAGACACTGTTCCAAACACAACTGTGACAGAGAAGCCAAGCTTCCTGGGTCCCACTAGATGACATCCACTCATAGAAAGGACCTGAAACATGTCTGCTCTGCTGAGTCTTGTGGATAGGCAGAGATGATAAGAGACAGATAGTCCCACAATAACCTGGCCCTGTGCCATGGAGGACTTTATAGGAGGTAACCAGTACCTTGAATTGCATCCAGAAGTTTATAAGGAAGCAGTACAACTTGTGAAAGTAGTGGTGTTACATGGACATACTATGGTACACCCATAACTACCTGCACCACTGCATTCTGGACCAGTTGCAGTTTCCTGAGGGTCTTCAAGGGCAGCCCCATGAAAAGCACATTGCAAGTCCACGTGAGAAGTGACCAAGGCATAAGTAACTGGGAGCATGGTTTCCCAGTCCAGGAATAGATGCATTTGGTGCACAAGTTGGATTTGTGCAATAGCCCCCTTGATCATGGCTGCCACCTGATCTTCTGCTAGGACTTGAGAATACAAGAGGAACCCCAATTGGGCATCAGTTCTGTTATGGGAGTGCCACCTCTTCCCGAACTAAAGATGGAAAGTTTCCTAAATCAGAGGGCCCCAAATCCCACAACTACTTAGTCTTGCTTGGGTTAAATTGGTGCTTGTTCTGTCCCATCCAGATCTGCACAGCCTCCAGACACTGGGAAAGAACCTTGACAACATCACTTGGTCAGTGCAGGCTAGAGATGTATAATTGGGTATTATCAGCATACTGATGATCCTGATCCTGTGCTGGTGGATGACCTCATCCAGCAGCTTCATGTAGAAGTTAAGTAGGAATGGAGAGTGGAAAGCCCTAGGAACCCCACAAAGGACTAGAGCTCCCCTCCCCTACTAACATTGATTGGAACCAACTACAGAGGAAGGAGATCACTGCAAGACATGGTTCCCACTTCTAACCCCTAGAGCCAGTCCAGAAGGATACCATGATCAATTGTATCAAAGATCATGAAGGCTCAGGTTTTAGGTACCACAACATCCCAGCACAAGTTAATATAAGTTGGTTGTGATTTATATGCTCATTACATTTGTGTTGTCTTGAGGTCTGTAATCATATTGACCATGAATGTAAAGTGCATTATATGATTTCCTTCTTGGGGACTTTGAGCAATTCTCCCTTCTTGAACCCTAACCCTAAGTCATTGCATATCCCTTGCTTTGCCTCAGGGTGGTTCCACTCAGGGCAGAATTTTCAGGGAGGGATGAGGGAAAGTCACTATGCAAGCAGACTTCTATTCTGAGAATGTGCAGAAAAGCCAAGGGAGAAGGAAGGAAGGAAGGAAGGAAGGGAAGGAAGGAAGGAAGGAAGGAAGGAAGGAAGGAAGGAAGGAAGGTCTTTACCTGGTGTAAAATCATGTGTTGCCATGTGCCTGGAAGAGCCTGGGTTACCTGCACAGCTAAGAAGGTGCAACTTCTATTCCATTTTGCTGGACCCAGAGCTGCTGTTGCTTCTTTTCCAGAACATCTGTGTTTCTGCACAAAGGGACAGTATAAACAGCACCATGTATGGCATGATCTTTATGACTCTTGTATTCTTATCTGCCAGTGAAATCTTTAAATACACAATTGTTGCTATCAATTATTTTGACTGTTTTAACCATAAACTGCTGGGGCATTTTTAATAGGAAGTAGTACATCAATTTATTACAGATAAATAAATAAGTAAGTAAGTAAAATTAAGGACTGAGGACTGCCTCATATATTTAAACAATCATACACAAAAATAAACTTTCTATTTAAAAATTGTGCGATTGCCACATTGAATGAAATAGGCATATGAATATTAAGCAAGCTGCAAATGCAGAATAGGAAGTTAGCATTTGGTATAGATGACAACAGGTCTCCATGGTGGCAGGGTATGGAATCCTGTGGCAAGTAGATGTGGATGTGAAACTGGAGGTTTGATGAGTTGCTTGCGATGAAGACATTTTCTATTACCTCGTGGAACCTGATAAATCAGAGACTATTCGGTTTGGTGCTTCTCAAGGATGACAACTGAGAAGTTTGCCTGTTCTTTACTGAGAAGCCTGATGATGGTGGAGCTTCTAACACCTCAGAAAAAGCAGGTTTATACTTTGTGGGTGCTCCTGAATTCATAAATGTCCATAAAAGCCTAAGAGGGAATTATCACCTTCAGTTGGTACTGTATAGCAGATATTTCTCTAGCTACAAAGGTTCATGCACTGGTAACCTGACATCAGATGTTGGGTTGCTCTAGTGTGCTCTGGGTAGAGCTACCTTTGCTCTTTGCCTGGAGGTTGCGGGTGGACAGAACATAGGGGTCAGTGTGCTGAGTGGGACACCAAATAGACATTATATTATTAGTTTTAGGCATTGGCTATTAGTAACTGAGCCAAAGGTTTTGCTTTTGGCATATACTGCCTGATGCAATGCAGAACCATTAGTAAATTGCAGATGGTCTTCCTTCCCATAGAACCAGATGATCACTAAGAACCAGATGATCACCTGTTGCATCTACCTACCCATCTGGCTCTTAAAGACAAACAGGACTTTTCTGCAGTGGCACTTGCTCCTTGGATTGCTCTTCCTCCTTGTCACTCAGGAGACACTTGCCATATCTTTTAAGAACTTTGTTAAAGACTAGTGTATGAATCCAGTTTTCCCTTTCCCTCCCATATTTTTAATGGTTATATGCTTCGTGGTTTGTTATTTTGTGTTATTATGCTCCATATTTATTTTAAACCGAATACAGTGTTTATAGTTTTGGACTTAAGCGATACAAAATCTGAAAATAAATACAATATTACCTTAATGCACCTTATTACAAAGTTTTCAGCCAAGAACCATTGCATCAAGAATTTCAGAGAAGTGCAAATTCCACAAAATCATTAGGGCACAAGCTTCACATTTCTCTTGGAGATGCAATTCAGGTCAGTTTTTGTCCACTTTCAGAAAAATCAAATTTATCAATCTTCTACATATTGCATGCATCAAGGCTGATCCAATACATTTTTCTGTCTGAAGCAAATGACAAGATACCTTCTCCATTCATCCTACAGATGGGTAGTTGAATTTTACTGACACTTGTCTTGTGAAAACAGCCTTTTGCAACTGGGGGCAATAAAGTATCTTGTGCAGTATTAGACAAAGTGCCTGAAAAAAACATGGTTCTGCTATTGCCACCATTCTCCAGCATCTATTATTTGAAGCAACCACTTCACTCTGTTTAATGGTAGCAATGGCCCAGATCTAAATCATGCTTTCTTTAAGAATACGTAAGAGCAGCAAGAAAATGATTGATTCATGACCAGATTACAGTATCATTCCATTATTTCTCCCATAGTCAGATTTAGTACAACAGGTTTGCCTGATCTGAGCCCTAGGCTTGCATTCAGGTTATGAAGCTCCTAACCCATAGAACCCATTCAAAAAAATTGCCACCAAACTAATTGTTAATGTGGCAGGAAAGGGAAATAATTAAATACCCAATAAATAGTATTGAATTGACCTGAATGCAAATTAAATTAATTCATGTTTATTTGTAGTTATGTGACTCTTCTATTTCACAAAAACGATATGAAAATAGATGGATGGAAGAACCCTGGGGGAACCCAGAACAATCACATGGCAAAAGTATCATGTGGTGATTTCAAAATAAATGCCAAATGTCCTCTGTGGAAATGGCCCAAATGGAGCAGGCATTTGGTTAGAGACCCTAAATTCTACAGACAGTAGAGTATATGGAAAGAGCCATCAATGTTCATTTCAATGATAGGCAAGCTTGATTATTATGAGAAATATCTTAATTCTGCAGTAGAAAGAAGAGCCATTTCCACAATATATCAACCTGATCAATCACTGCAAGGAGATTGGCTTGTGAAGACAAAATCTGGAAAGACAAACTGAGTGTTTCATGTTTGCTTAAATCATAACAATAGAATGTAAACCTGGGATACGACAATCAGAAGTATTGATTCATTCTTTCAATAAAAATGAAATATTGAGAATGCCTCTATGTATGCCTCAAAATGAAATCAGCCAATTAACTGAATTTAGATTACTTGACTATGTATAATTTATTTCTCCATTTATCATGCTATAACCTGACAGCCATTGCTTAGGGATCTTCCCTAGGAAAGATTTCTCCCCTTTTGCACTCTGCTCCATGAATCCCTGAATCTGATCCTAGGGAGGATGAAATAAAATAGTTTCAAATGCCAAGACAAAATGCATGTTTCATGCCAAAAAATCTGTCCGTTTTAAAAAGGAAACTGTGCTGTGCTCAAAAAAGTTTCTAAACAAGCAAATTTCCCATATCTCTTCTTTAGTCATAAGGGGGGTGGTCACATTTCCAAGCAAATCAGTCATCTGTAGTTGCTCACCTTTTTTATTTTTTAAAGAAAGTTATGGGACTTCTTTAGGCGTCAGAGGCATTCTCAGAAATAAAAGTAATTCTGGAACTAGCACCTGTGCTTTGTAGCATGCCAGCTTCCTTTTGATTGATTGATTGATGGATTGATTGATTGATTGATACATAAATAAAATGTCAATGTCAAAGTGAAACAGGGAACTTATAAGTACAAAAGGAGGTGTCCATGTTGGGAACTGGGTTCACAAATAAGCAGCAAAGATGGTTGATAGGAGGTGAGAATTAAATCTACATACCATATATACTCGCATATAAGCCCATCCTCAGATAAGCTGACCCGCAAATTTTTCATATGTTTTAATTTTCACAATTGGCTTATTCATGGGTAATCTATGGAATATCCATTTTTCATGGTATTTTGGTTAAAAATTCGAGGGTCATTGTATCCACAGATGGGTTTATCCACGAGTATATACAGGATATAAGGGTACTTTTAAAAAGTATTGCCATATATATTCACAGACAAGCCCATCAGCAGCTAAGTCAAACCCAATCTTTGGGTGCATTGTGGCACCTAAAATTCTTGGCTTATTCACGAGGATATATGGTATGTTTAGCCTAGAGAAAAGGAGACCAAAGAGTGAAGAGAAATTCCTGAATGACCCTCATCCAGAAAAGGGAAAAGACACTTTCCTTGCAGGCCAAAGAACCCAGAACTGATTTAAGAGGATTTGCAATATAGGAGAGTAGATTTTGGTGAAATATCATACCTCCTTGATGATAAGATCCTTGTAACATACAGAGCTACCAGGAGCAGAGATTCAAACTACAGAGAAATCTGAATGAGGGACTAAATGCAGCTCATCCAACACAGGGGACAACATCACTCAGCACAATCCTGTTTTCAGGTTGTGTATAATTGTAACTATCTTTTGAAATCTTCAGCTAGAGTTTTCATGACTTACCTTTCTTTAAAAAAATCCAAAGCAGAGAATGATTAAAAATGCAAACTCAACAACAACAAATCCATTATATCTAAAACCTTAAACCTAGCATTAAAGTACAGTAAAATCCAGTAACAAATCACTTGTGAAAAGCTTTCCCATAAAGGAAATTGTAGCCTTGTTATATTCTTAATTCTTGAACTCCTGGAGCAAACGATTCTTTAAAAGGGTAGCTATATTAAAACCTGCATAAAGCAAGTTAATCACAAAGTAACTACTCTTGAAAATGCTCACAAGCAGAAGCATGAATCTGAGTAAGAGAAGGGACCGGCTGACTGGTTTTGAATCCAAACTCTTGCTGTAATTGGAGACTTCTATGGAGTGGCAAGTTTAAGACACTGCAAATTATTCAAACACAGTGCCCAATGTTTTCAGAGTACATATTGTTACTGTCTCCACTAGAGCTGTGGCCAAGATACACGGATTTCTGAAAGGTGACTGATGGATTGTTCAACAAGTTTTCACAGTTAAACAAAGACGTAAGAACAGAGAGTATATTCTCATTCATCCTTCTTAGGGACCATGCAGTCAATGACATGCTTCTTTTCACTTCAATGACTTTTAGATCAGAATCTTATCATGAAGAAGCTCATAAAGGTAACAACTTCCATTTCCTCTCACTACCTGTTTCAAAACTAAAATAGTCTGTGAATTGGGGTTTTTGTTCTTCATGAGAAAGAGGGCTAGTTCACACATACACATTCTTTCTTAATTACTTCAACATTCAGCGATGATATGCAGGTATGTTCACCACAAGTACAGCCCCATCATATGCTGAATATCAGGTCTCCCTATTCACCAAGAACACTTTTGTTTTTTAAAACCACTCCCATTGTATTGGATATGTATTTAATATATTTCCTCAAAGCTGAGCCAGGTAGACCAGTAAATAGGCAACTATTAGTAGCTCAAGTACAGGCTAGATACAGTTATATACTGTAGATTCTGAGTACTTAGGGGAAAAGGGAGAGAGTTGGCAATTAATGTCAGAATAAATACTTTTAGGGCTTGAAGAAATCTTAACATTTCAGG